TGGTATCTACTTAGCATTCCAATGGAAAATACAACATCTGGTCATGTACAAACTTGAGCATACACTAAGCTCCCAATAATTGATGCATAGAGAGCATTTTTCATTTCATCCCACTCTAGGTCATTTCTTGAACATTGGAATTTAACAAAATTATAACCTTTTGACCATTGGCACCTTTCCATTTTTATAGTTTTGCATGCCAAATCTTTTTAGAATTCTATCAGTGTAGGTTCTTTGTGATAAGCCAAGATACCCACCAGACCTATCTCAATGAATCTCAATGCCAATGCAAATGATATTTCACTAAGATTCTTCATTTCTAGGTTTTGAGACAAAAATTATTTGATCTCATGTAATAGGCCGATATCACTACCAACAAGTTAAATGTCATTGACACACAAAACTAAAAGGTTAACTTACTTCCACTGACTTTTATTAACTTTATTTTTTTTAACCATATGAGGTAATTATTCTATCAAATTTAGGTATCATTAATTTGCAAATTAAATATTCCTTACCTTCGATCTCAAAACCTTCTGTTTGAACCATATAAACATTCTTAGACAAGTAACAATGAATGTCATTATTACTCTTAATGAATGTTTTTTTGAAACAAGGCAGGACTCTTTATAGTTAATGCCCTTCTTTTAAGTAAAATCTTTAGTTATAAGTTAACCTTTTGAGTCAAGTTTAGTTTGGAATACTAATTTGTAACCAATGGATTTGATTTCCTCTAATAATCAACTCGGTCCCCAGCCTTTTTTTATGCATTAAGTTTAACTCATTCTTCATGGAATCTAACCCAAAGAGGCTATTTTACTATCCCTAACTTGAGAATATTGATGTTGCTCGATTTGAGATGTTTCTTGAACTGAAGTCGTAGTCATATAATCCTGCCAACTAGACGAAGTTGAGGTGGAAGGATGAAACTGCGTAGCAAGATCTAAAACCAAGAACAGAATCAGAGGCCCGAGGAGTATTCCCTGGATAGGCACTTTGACACTTAAGTCAGTGAAAAGAATGGGTGGCCAGGCCAAGCAGTTGAGAGAATAGTGCTGGTCCGAGCAAAGTAACAATATGAAAGCTAGGAAGTCCAAAAATCCCTTACCTCGAGTGGGGATGACCACTAGTTCAATAGGGACTTTATCCATGTGGAGTGTTTCTGTTTCTAGCATTGGATTATTTTCATCACTTCCTTTTGTGTCAACTGTTGGTATGATCAGATCATCCCAAGGAAGTGGTACTATGATTTGGTTTTCTCAAATGCCATGTGTCATGGTTCAATATAGCCATCCACCATAAATCTAGCAATTAGGATTTTCACAACTTTGGTACTATTGGATAAGCAATAAAACTTGTAACCTTTTTTATCATTTTAGATAGCCAAAGAAATAACAACTCACCATTTTGGGATTATACATTCTTTCACATGGGTTATATGTTCTTGTCTCTATATCACATCCCAAACACGCATATGACCCAAATTAGTATTTTTCCCATCTATAGCTCAAAGAGAGCCTTAAATACAACCTTAAAAGACATCCCATTTAGGATATCTATTGCTTTTAAGGCTTTGTCATATCTTTTAAGGTACGATAAGGAGTTACTTATCATGTTTCTCATCATAGATTTATTGAGGATATGCCAACAATATTATATCTCTAACCGGTTAACAGTTAGGTTCCCTTAAGGCCGAGGAGATATCCTAGATGGGTAATGAGGGTGAGACATGTGTATTTGAGCATCAATGTCAAGTTGAGCTAAGGTACATTTCCATCCATTGATTCCCGAGATCTTAAACTGTTATATGATCATGGTCAGCTAGCTATCTCCAAATTCCATTATGCTTGTTGTTTAAATAATTTCTACAGCTCACTAGCGAGGTGCTTGGCTGAGCCTCAATCTTTTTAGGGTGCTACTTTGTCTTAGAACCCACCTAATTACCAAGAGATGGTGGTATTTCAAGGCTTGGTCCAGGAAGAAGATCCTATGGATGGCTCTCTATCTTCTATCCACGGCTGAAGAGTTGATATTTCTTTGTATCATGTGCCAAAGGCTGGTCTATGAGGATAGAGTAGGGAAAGCTTAATCTCATGTTTGAGAAGCTATGCCTGACATTGAATACCTAGAAGAAGAAGCTCATCAACCAAATCCAACTAGGAAAGGGCACCATTGAACAATTCCCCGTTGCTTAGTCCTACCAATCTACGTATATTTGTGCCTTGGTTTTTTTATCTCTTTCCACTAAGTGATCTTCTTTGGCATCGACTTGTTTAATTTGTGAAGACATGGATCTTTTTGAGAGTAAAAGGGTGGTAACCATGAAAAAAAGGAAGGCTGCCAAGATCAAGGTGGCAAAAAGGGATGAGGTGGAGGCCATTAGAATGTTGCTAGCATCGTGGTAGTGAAGAAAAAGGTAGCCAAGATCGAGGCCGATAAGAAGAAGGTGATCAAGGGTGAAACCTCCCAATAATTAAATAAGACTGTTCCAAGCAAGAGGGCCTCCACAGAAACTATAGCAAAAAGGCTTCAGAAGAAAAAGCAGTATGACGAAGATCGAGGAGGAAGAACAAGTTCGAGGAGATTATTGGCCAAGAAGGAAGATCATCCATGACCACCCCACAACGCACTCCTCAATACCTACTACCTCACCCTTAGGCTCTATTGAGTGTATTTATAGTCTGGTCTATGAGTATCTGCCACTCCCTAACTACTTGATATACCACCTTGAGTGGTTAGTGAAGATCAGACACCATTTTCAACAAGAAGGTCACTTAGGAGGTGGTGGAAGGTTGTATTATGCCCAGGGACAAGTGGTAGGACCATCTTGACCTTTACTTCTATTTCATAATAGTCGTATGCTTGGTAGTTCTTTGATGCAGGTCTTCTTGGCAATTGTCAAGATTTGTGACCGGGTTCTAACCTTGAGATAGGTAGTCGAGGAAATGAAGGCCAAGATAGCATAACTTGTGGAAGAAAGAGAACATGTCGAGACCCTCCAGGCAGAGAACCAAGAAGAGAATGCATGACTCTAGGAGTCACTAAGGAAAGCTCAAGGGAAGTTCTAGTTCTTGAAGGAAATGCTCAAAACTCAAGAGGAAAGACTAGTAATGGTCAATGTGAGTCACTCTAAGGCCAAGAATAGGATATAATGCATGAAGGAGCTCACCAATTAGGTGAAGGTAGAGGTAGCCAAGGCTAAGGCCAATGTAGTGGTAGAGTGCTAGACCTCTGACTACTACAAGCATGACCTAGCAGACTATAGTGGCAAGTCATACCTTGATGGGTTCTCTATTTTCCAAGAGCAAGTACTGTCCATCGTTCTTGAGTTTGATACAAGAAAACTCAATCCCTTTGCTAGTGTTGAGGATGAGGGTACAAGAAGAAGTGAGGTTGAGGGTGATGTCACAAGTGCAACCTAGTCTCAAGATAGTGAAGGCAAGGGTGGCTATAGCAAGGTTGTTGTTGTGGTCGATGTCAATGAGGAAATGGACAAACAACTCAAAGGTGATTTCATGATTTCATCCGGGAGGTACACTACCTAGACTGTCTAGCTAAGATGGTAATGGTAAGAAAGGCTAATGGGAAATGATGGATCTGTAATTATTTCATGGATCTAAATAAAGCCTACCCTATAGATAGTTTTTCCTTGCCTAGAGGTGTAAAGTGGGCCATGTCATGCCAATATGACACGATTTTGTAAACTGCCCATCCTTTAGTGGGACATGTCGTACCTGTTGGAAAGGGATGATGAGGATTATTCCTTGTGGAATCCGAGTTAGAATTTTTCCTGTTTTTTTAATTATTTATTTTCTTATTTAGGTTGTGATTATTTTCCTTTTTTAGGCTGTGATTTAGTTTCCTTTTTTTCTTTAGGCTAAATTAATAGGTTAGTTTTCTAGAATAGCTCCTAGATTGATTCTTAGAAGTTGTATATATTTGTACAGATCTTCTCAATGAAATTAGAACAGAAACCTTCAAACATTTGTTTATGTTTTCATGGTATCAGAGCCTGCGACGATGTCTGGAACGAACCATTCTTCATCAACAGTGGACTCGACAGCAGTAGATTCAACCATGAATGCATCAAGATCCCTTGGAACCTCCTTCACCACCTCTAACATAAGCCATTCTCTGTAGATTACCCAACACAAATTAAATGGGTCCAATTTTCGTGAATGGTTTCAAAATGTTTTGTTAGTGATTCGAGGAAAAGGAAAAGTGGGTTACCTTACTGGTGAAATCCCTCCTCCAGCGAGCAGTGATGCGAGTTACAAGACATGGGAAGATGAAAATTCCATTGTCATGGCGTGGTTAATCAATTCCATGGAGCCGCAAATAGGACTCACGTATTTGTTTTACAATAATGCTCACGAAATATGGAAGGCTGTTCAGGAGATGTACTCAGATCTTGGAAACACATCTCAATGTTTTGAAATTCGTTCTCTCCTATGGAACATAAGGCAGGGATCAATGTCAGTAATAGAGTACTAMAACAGSCTGATTGRTCTATGGCAAGAAATGGATTTGTTTTATACAATTCCATGGAAGTGTACTGATGATGGAGTACTGTACAATCAAGTCCTTGAGAAAGATCGAGTATTTGATTTTCTTCAAGACTCTTTGACCTGGATGAAGTACGAGGTCGTATTCTTGGAATCAAATCCCTTCCTTCACTTTGTGAGGTGTTCTCTGAGGTTCGACGAGAAGAAAGCAGGAGGAAAGTCATGCTGAACCCATCCTCACATGGAATCCTAGAGGAACAATCGCAAGGATCTGCACTTGCATCTACTCGGTCTCAACCTCAGAAGAAAAAAGAAAACCACCAGTGGTGTGAACACTGCAAAAAGTCGTATCACACAAAGGAGACTTGCTAGGACATTCATGGAAAACCTCCAAATTGGAAACCACGGAATCAGAGGAAAGACAACCCTTCAGCTCATGTAGTCGAATCTGTTGAGACAAAGAAGCCTAACACAAYAGCTTTCACATCGGAACAAATGGAGATTTTAAGGTCTCTTCTTCACCAGCAACAGATTTCTAAGGCATCAGGTTCTACACCTACAACAGCAATTGCACAACGAGGTAATATCTCATCATCTCTATTATCACAAAAAGATGATCTCAATGATTGGATTTTTGACACCGGTGCATCAGATCATATGACAGGACATCATTCAACTTTTTTGAATTATAAAAAATGTGATGGTGAGATAAAAGTCTCAGTGGCAAATGGGAATACAATAATTGTCGCTAGAGTTGGAGATGTTTTTTACCAAGGACTTTATTTGAAATTTGTTCTTCATGTTCCGAGTTTAAGATATAATCTCCTTTCTGTTAGTAAGTTAACTAAGGATCAAAATTGTAAAGTAACATTTCTTTATGATCGTTATATTTTTTAGGATCCGTCTTCGGGGAAGATGATTGGCAATGCTGAAGAACGACATGGTCTCTACTATCTCATTGATTCTTCTCCAAGGCCAAAACCACATCTTTCTCTTTCTGCGTGCGTCTAGTTCGTTGAATTCAAATGTAATTCTATGGCACAAACGCTTAGGACATCCTAGTTTTCAATATTTGAAACCTTTGTATCCAAACTTATTTCTCAATAAAGATCCTTCTTCTTTCCATTGTGAGTCATGTATTCTTGCGAAATAGTCCAGAAAAAATTATCTTATTCACAATTACAAACCTTCCAAACCGTTTCATCTTGTTCACAGTGATTTTTGGGGAGCATCACGGGTTGTGGATTTTACAGGCAAGAGATGGTTCATCACCTTCATAGATGACCATACTCGTGCTTGTTGGGTCTATCTCTTGAAGAACAAATCTGATGTCGGGTATGTGTTTCAACAGTTCCATAAAATGATAAAGAATGTGTTACAATGCAACATTCACATACTCCGCATAGATAATGGAGGAGAGTACTTTGCACAGATTCTTGGAGATTACCTCATYYAGAATGGCATATTTCATCAAAGCTCATGTACATCTACCCCACAACAAAATGGGGTTGCAGAACGAAAAAATCGTAATTTGTTGGAGGTAGCTCGATCACTCATGTTTGCTAGTGCTGTTCCACATCATTTTTGGGGAGAATTTGTATTAAATGTTGCCTATTTAATCAATAGACTTCCACCAAAACCCCTCAAATTTCGTACACTAGTCAGTTGTCTCCAAAAAGAATTCTCTCATATTCGTTTACTCAACTCTCTCCCACCAAAAATATTCGGGTGTTCTGTGTTTGTTCATAATACCAGTCCTACTCGGGGAAAACTTGATCCAAAGGCCATCAAATGTATCTTCATAGGATACTCTCCCACTAAAAATGGATATAAATGTTACAATCCTGTCACAAAAAAAAATTCTATGTATCCTATGATGTTACATTCCTGGAAGATCAATCCTTCTATTCCCGTGATTCTCTTCAGGGGGAGAACTTAATTGAAGATAATCATTGGGATCCTTCGATATCTCTTCYTGTGTCTTTGCCCCAGTCTCCATCAGTGTCCACTTTACCATCCTCTGAGTCTCCACCATTACCCCTACCAGATACAACCGTAGGTCTCGATCAAGGGGGAGAATCAGTCCAACAACAAAGTGAACTAATTGTTTACTCAAGGAGGCCCCGTGTTACTCAGCAAAACCAATCATCAGAACCTATGGCAGATTCACCACAAGATTCACAAAGAGGTGTTGTTTCAATTGATGATCTAGATGTTCCCATTGCTATAAGAAAGGGGGTAAGATCTTGTACTCAACATCCGATTTTGAATCATTTTTCATATTGTCGTTTATCTAACACTCACAGGGCATTTGTATATCAACTTGATAATGTAACAATTCCTTCAAATATATATGATGCCTTGAGAGATTCAAAATGGAAGGCTGCTGTTTTAGAAGAGATGAAGGCACTAAATGACAATAATACATGGGAAGTTGTAAACATGCCTGAAGGGAAGAAGTTAGTGGGATGTAAGTGGATTTTTATGGTGAAAGTAGGCTTGGAAGGGAAAATAGAGAGATACAAGGCGCGTTTGGTTGCTCAAGGGTATACACAAACATACGGACTTGACTACGAAGAAACTTTTGCATCAGTTGCAAAATTGAACTCTATACGGGTTCTCTTGTCTATGGCAGCCAACTTGGATTGGGAATTGCACCAAATGGATGTTTCAAATGCTTTYCTGAATGGAACTCTTGATGAAGAAGTCTACATGAAGCTGCCTCCTGGCTTTGAAGACAAAGAAAAACCAGGATCAGTGTGTAAATTGAAGAAGTCTCTGTAT